GATGTTTGCCAGATGTCAGGACCAGTTCCAGGTGACACTTTCAGAGGGAGTGCCAAGTTGTTCGAGCTGTCTCTCTTGGGTGGAAACATACTTGATACTACTCCAAGAAGAGCACGAGGAGAGCTCTGTGGTTTCTAGGCTGATGCTCACCTTTCAGCCAATATTTAAAAGATATTATTTGTCCCTTATGATGTTGGTTTTTATAAGATCTTGATGTGTAGGACTTGGTGGTTGCAATTTTAATATTGTCATTAGAATACAAAATGGTTCACGATTGTCTGGTGACTTACTGAAGCTTATATAAACTAAAAACAAGTTGGATTGATTTTGGTGCAGTACCTGTTTACTGTGTTGCTGAAATGCAAATTTCATATTTTCACCCACAGGGCTGATAATAATGAGATCGGGATTGTACTTGTTGCTGCAAAGTTCAGGCACTTACGTAATTCTGTAAAACTCAATTCAACAGTACTGACTGTAGAGCACACAGTTGAGCTTAGATTCTGAACACAGTTGATACTTCAAATATCAGAACAAATGCAACCTGACTAATTACTGACCTGTTAGACATGGAATCCCCACAGTGCAGTTTGAGGCCATTTGGCCCATTGAGTTCACACTAACCCTCCGAAGAGTATCCAACCCAGACCCAGCCCATAACCCCACATTTCCCATGGCTAATCCCCTGAGCCCACGCAACCCAGGACACTGCGGGGTAATTTAGCATGGCCAATCCACTCTAACTTGCACATCTTTGGTCTGTGTGAGGAAATCCACACAGACACAAGGAGAATGTGCAAACTCCAAACAGACAGTCACCCAAGGGTGGAATCGAACCCGGGTCCCTGGCGCTGTGAGGCAGCAGGTGCTGACCATTGAGTCACCGTACCACCACATCTCTGAATTCTTATCAAAATGATGGGAAGTGTTGTCAACAGTGCTATCAAGCAGCGCTTGTTCAGCAATAACCTGATCACTTATGCTTAGTTTAGGTCCATTCAGGGTCATTCAGTTCTTGTCCTCATTATAGGCTTGCTCCAAACTTGGACAAAAGAATTAACTCCAGAGATTCCTCTCTGTAGAAACATAGCATCTCTCTTCCTGCCCGTCTCCAACACCAGGACACCCAGTTCCACAATCATTACCCCCTGGAATCTTCTCTGTGTCCTAGTTTTCCATCTTCCTTGTTTTACATTACATCTGTGCTACTCAGCACAATTTCCCTTTAAGAGCAGCAGGTTGCCTTTAAGAACAAAGTGCTGGTTGCATCATTTGCCTTCAGTGTAACACTGCTTGTTTCTCCACTGAGTATGCAGTCAGCACCAGGAGGAAGCCTGCAGTAAGTAACCTGCTTGGCCCCAGAATATAGTTGTGAACTGCTACCACTCCACCCCAAAAAATGCAGCAGCCAAAGTTTTAAGCCCAGTGTCTTTTGGAAAACAGGAAAAGTTAGGATTTTTTGTGCAACAACACATGTCTTCTCATTGCTCCTCCTCCAGCACTGTTGGTTGGTTTATATTTACCTCTGAATGTTGCCGATTCTCCTTCCATTGCTCCTTCACTCCCTTATTTAAATATAAAACATCACAAGATTATTTTGGATAAGCAAAGCCATTTGACTGACCTTGAATCAAGTAATGACACCTCTTTGTGTAAAGAATGATTTCCTACATTACATCTTTGACTTCTTCAACATGAGCAAACCTCTATGAGCTGGTTCTCTGCACTGATACCACAACACATCCCTGGTACCCTCCAGTCTCAGTGATCGTTTCAAGAAACCTAGTGTTGTTCTGAACTGCAGACTATTCAGGATTTCCTCTGGACATTCCAATGAAAATAACTCATTTCCGGACTTAGGGCTGGGAATGAAGTGGGGCAGGATGCCTCCTTAAAACTTGGCACCAGAACTGACCAGAACCAGAAATTGTTGGAGAAACTCATCAGGTCTGGCAGTACCTGTGAAGAGAAAGCAAGTTATGTCTTGAATCCAGTGATCTTCTTCAGAACTGCTGTATGGTCATCTAATTTTGGGATGTAATCATTCAGCAGCCATTGGCTGACTCTGTAGAACAAGGCTGGGACTAATTTGGTACACGGATTCGGGATGTAGTGGTAGAAATGATAAGCAAGGTACAAAAAGGACTGATAGAGACAGATCGTACTACAAGAAGAATCAATGAGGTACTAGGCACAGTCAGATAAGTGAGAAGAGAGTGAGATCTAATTCAGGGTGACAGTGCATATATGTAAATGGTGAGAATTGTCTAACCAATGTGAGTGAGTCATAAGAACAGACAATCACATGAAGTCTGATGATAATGGAAAGCTGGATCAAAAACAGACAGCAAATTCCGTCAACCATGAGACCATAAAATGTAGGAGCACAAATCGGAGATTTATCCCATTGAGTTTGCTCCACCATTCAGTGAGATCAGGGCTGATCTGATCATCCTTAACTCCACTTTTCAGCCTTAGCTCCATAACACTTGATTCCCTTCTGATTAAAAATCGGTCCATCTCAGCCTTGATTACACTTAATAACCCAGCCTCAACAATTCTCTGTGGTAAATAATTCCACAGATTCACTGTCCTCTGAGAGAAATTCTCCCTGTTTCTGTCTTAAATGTGCAACACCTTATTCTGAGATTATGCTGCCCGGTCCTTGACTCCCCCATAAGGGAAAACCACCATTCCACATATTCCCTATGAAACCCCTAAGAATCTTATGTTTGAATAAGGTGTCCTCTCATTCTTCTAAACTTCAGTGAGTAATGACCCAACCTAATCACCCTCTCCTCAGAAGAAAATCCCTCTATGCCTGGAATCAACCTAGTGAACCTTCTCTGGATGGTCTCTAATGTTAGTACATCATTCCACAGACAGTGGGGCCTAAACTCCAAAGTATTCCAGCTGTGGTCAAACTAGTGCCTTGTGCAGTTTTAGCAAAATGTCACTACGTTTATCTTTGAAATAAGACCAAAATTCAATTTGCCTTCTCTATTATCTGCTGAACGTGAATGCTAGTTTTTTTCTGATTCATGCATGAGGAGCCCAAATCCCACTGTACTGCAGCTTCCTGCAGTCTTCCTTTCTATTTAATTAATATCCAACTTTTCTACTCTTTCTATCAGAGTGCATAGCCTCACATTTTTCCACATTATATTCCACCTTCTAAGTTTTTGCCGACTAACTTAACCTCAAGTTATGGGGAGGCAATGACCCAGTGGTATAATTGCTGGGCTCTTAATCCAAAGCCTTGGGTTCTAAGGACTTCAGTTTGAATCCCACCACAGCACATGATGGAATTTGAAATCAAAACATACTGAAATAAAAAAATTGAACGATGACCATAAAACCATTGTCAATTGTTGAACACACCCGTCTGGTACACTAATGTCCTTTTGGGAAGAAAATTGCTGTTCATGCCTGGTCTGAAGTAGATGTGACTCCAGACCTACAACAATGTGGTTGACTCCTAACTGCTCTCTGGGCAGTGAATGGCTATCTAGTCAGTGACTCCTACATCTTGTGAATGAAAACCAAAATGCCCCTGTATGTTCTGTGTTATCGTTTGCCTTCACACCTATTTTTGTGTCATCTACAATTTTGGTGATAGCACATTCACTTTCCTCATCCAAGTTATTAATATGGCTTACGGTTTGGCAGCTGAAGACATGACCACCAAGGGTAGAGTGATTAAGAGGCCAGATTTAGAGGAGCAGAGATATGTCAGAGGGATAAGCAAATACAGCTGACTGGAGATTTAAGGAGGCATCAGTATAATGCAGGATGTGAAAGCAAGAAAGAGAAATTTAAATTAAAGCTGTTGCTTAACTGAGAGCCATTGTGGGCTGGTGAGCAGAAGAGTGAAAGGGTAAACATGTTTTGGTATAGTAGGACATAGGTGACAACAGTTTGGATGACCTCCTGGGAATATGAGGAATTAGAATGTGGGAGGCTGATAGCAGTGTCATGGAGTAGGTAGCCTAGAGGTAACAAAAGCATGTACAAGGGTTTCAGTAGCAGATGAGCTGAAGCAGGACAGACTTTGGTGATGCTATTAAGATGGAAATATAAGGTTTTAGTGATGAACTGACAGCGTTGATATACAATTACAAACTCATCTCTTCCATATTACTGCTCTCAGTTTCTCCACAGCTCAACATGACTCTTACACTGCCAACAATAGCAACTGCTTAGGGCTCACTCTAACCCTCATTTGGTATTCCTAATGTTCCCTCGAAGGTCATTTTACCTTTGGATCCAATGTCTAGGTTTTCACCTCATCAGACTTTCAATTGCACTGGCACTCATCACGCTGCTGATGCAGCAGTGAACAATCTACACCAGCAAGCACAATAGCAAGTACAATTAGTCTCTGGCATATTGACTGCAAATTCTAGGACATTATCTGCTTAAAATAGCAAAAAGTAACACAATCAGCCCTTTGGTGTTGTTCACTAAGTAGCTTTTCTCAAGTTGAAAAGTTCTCATTTATAACAACCTCCAGTTTCCAGTGTTTAGGCCAGCTATCTACTACCACCATACCCCCAGACCCCTCCCACTACCCCCATCTCCCCACCAGCACCATATTTTATTGTCAATTCAGGGCTTTTTTATGTAGCTGGCCTCATCTGTCACCCAGTGAGCTATAATATGGCTTCTCAGCACCTCTTGCAGTGTTCACTGAGGGAAAGAGTTTAATCGTTACTTTTGCAGATAGAATGGTTCTGATCAGAAGAGAATCGGCAAGTCTTCCTTATTTTAAAAACTTCTTTAAATAGTTGAAATGTAATGTCTGGGACGTGACACTTGGACTATGATGCCAGAATGTGTCGCCTCGTGACAGATCTGAAGTGTGATGGAGACTTTCAAAATTTTGATGTCGATTGAGTTTTGGGTAAAGCAGCCAAAGTGAGAAACAGCAACAGAGGCTGGGTTTTTATGTTCTGTAAAGAATTTATTATGCCAGGATAAATTTATCTTTTTCCTTCCAGAAGTGGTTGTCAAAAAGATATTGGCCCGAACACAGTTCAACATGCCAGAGGAGATAGACAGGTAAATCGTCCATTCTAGGATCTACTTTCCAGGGAGACTTTCCCCTTCTTGAGCAATCCTCTGGATGTATGTTCCCCATTACTGTTACATTCCCAATGCAGAGCAGAGCATGATAGAGACGTTGGTATAAAAATCATACTAGGAATCCTCAGCAGGTCTGGCAATGTCTACGGAGAGAGAACCAGAGTTAACATTTCCATTTCAGTACGACTTTTCTTCAGAACTGGTTCCAAAACTGTAGATACATGAATGGAAGCATTTCAATTCTGAAGAAGAATTTGATTATCGACAGAAAATGTCAGCACTATCAGAGACAATGGATGCTCCTGTTCTTTCACCTCCAGGAGTTATCTGCTCTTGATTTGACTTGCTTTCCTCTGCTGCCCTGAAACAGTTGTGCAGATTGCTCAAGCTAACCATGCACATTATTGGGACTTCCATGAGTATTCACCCATGATATAATCAGCTCCCCTCAATAAACCATCTCTTCACCTCTATCACTATATTCTCAAATGGCGTATGTGACATCTAATATTGGATGAACATAAATTTCCTACAATTAACATGAGGAAGATGGAAGCCTTTGTTTATAGTCCTCGCTCCAAGCTCCATTTCCTAGTTACCAACTCCATCTATCTCCCTGACAACAGTCTGAGATTAAGGCAGTTTGTTTGAACCTCGGGGTCATATTCGATTCTGAGGCAAGCTTATGAACTAATTTTTATGCCATTGCTAAGCCTGCCTGTTTCCACTTGCGTAACAATGCCTGGTTCAACCCTTGTTCTTAGCCCATGTTCTGCCTTCCTTACATCCATACTGAAGTATTCCAGTGCACTCCTGGCTAGCCTCCAACATTTAACCATAACTTTGAGCTCATCCAAAACCCTGCTGCCCATGTCTTACCTTGCAGCAACTCCAACTCCCCAATTACCGCTGTGCTCACTGATCTTCATTAATCAGTTCTATTCAAACAACGCGTCGATTTTAATATTCTCATCCTTGTTCCAAGCTTCCTCAATAGACTCATGCCTGCCTTTCTCTGTCATTTCAGCCAGGCCCACACCCCTCTAAGATATCTTTACTCATTTCATTCTGGCCTCTCCTGCAGTTCCAATTATATTTCTCCACCATTGGTTGCTATGCCTTCAGTTACCTAGGTCCCAAACCCTGGAATCCCTACAATTCTCCACGTCTCAATCTCAATTTCCACCTTTCAAACACTCCTTAGAACCTGTATCTTTGCCAAAGATTCCAGTCTTCTAACCTGATATCTCCTTATGTGGCGCAGTGTTATAGTGTGCTCTTTTGCTTTCTAACGTTCCTGTGTAGTGACTTGAGATTTTTGATTATGGTGAAGACACTAAATATATAGGTTGTTGTTGGAGTTGCAGTATGTACTATAGTGATAACTGAGGAAGTAAAACACAGATAATTGCAGAAAAACAAAAGCAGTTTGCTATGCACTGTAACAGACAGAAAAATCAAAGTGCATTTATGTGCTACAGGAAGATGAGTATTGAAATCTAATGTCCAATAATGGCACCTGTTAATTATTTTCTTTTGCGATCAGTAGTTTAATTAGCATGATGTGAATTCCCATTTAATCACAAATGGCAAAAGGCGAATTAATGTAGTTCAAAACCAATAAAGCTTGGACTGATTTCAAAGACTATCATCTTACACATTCAGGTGCAAACACGATGTGGAACATGGAAATCATTTTAATTATTGATTAAAATAAATAGTATTCATGCTTCGTCAGAAGTCACCTCATATCCTGTATAAATATTTATCTGTCATATACCGTTGGCCGTTAACATACTCAATAGAAATTATTCATCAATTAAATAAATCTGAATTTCTCACTTTGTAATGTTCAGTCACAACACATATCAATCTTGCTTCAATAAAAGGTTTTGGTCTTTTCAGGTTAGATTGTAAACGATGTGTTATCGTTGGCAATGGAAACACTCTGAGGAACAGCTCCTTGGGAAAAACAATCAATAAGCACGATGTTGTTATTCGGTGAGTGGCTTTGTTTTACTGTATGGTTTTGGTGTTGGGCCTGGTTGACTCTGACTGTTAACTTAGAGGATCAAAGTCTCATTCCAGAGACACAAGCACACACTTCAGTACAGAGTGAAGGAGCAGCTCCTGCTATGCTGCACTCCTTCAGTTCTACACTGCTGTACTAGCTTTAACCTTCATGCTCAGGTCCTGAGTCAGAGGCAAGATTGCAATAAACCAAGCTCTGTTTCACAAGGTAAGCTGAATGCATAAATTGGGAGGAGGCATCGCAAGATTGTAGTCTAATTTTCTGTGCATGGTTAAAGTCATCGCAGCAATAATATGCAGCTATGTTAGAGCAAGCATTTTTGTGGTACTAGACTAATTAGGTAAAATCTCAATAGATTATCGGTTGGCTCTAATCTCATTCCCTTCTCCATTAATCCCCACTTTAACGCCTGTCATCCTTTCTCTGAGCTCAAGCTTTCCATGACACTTGGTTCCTGTCCCCTCAATCCTATTGCCACTTATCTGCTGACCAACCACAACCTTTCCTGGCCCCCAGGTTAGCTGATATCATTAGCCATTATTTTTGTTTAGTTACCATGCCTATCTCCTTCAAATCTGAAGTCAACTCTTCCACCCGCAATCTGTCTGCCATTTCCAATCTCACTTTCCTCTTTTTCCTGTTGCTGCCACTCAAATCTGTTCTTATCTTTCCCTCAAAACCACGATCAAAACTGTTTAACCTGATAAACCCTGGTCACAGAGATAGTAGGAACTGCAGATGCTGGAGAATCTGAGACAACAAGATGCAGAGCTGGATGAACACAGCAGGCCAAGCAGCATCATAGGAGCAGGAAGGCTGACGTTTCGGGCCTAGACACTTCATCAGAAATGGAGAGGGGAAGGGGGTTCTGAAATAAATAGGGTGAGAGTGGGAGGCGGATAGAAGATGGATAGAGGAGAAGATAGGTGGAGAGGAAACAGACAGGCGGGGATGGAGCTAGTAAAGGTGAGTGTAGGTGGGGAGGTAGGGAGGAGATAGGTCAGTCCCGGGAGGACGGACAGGTCAAGGGGGCGGGATGAGGTTAGGAGGTAGGAGATGGGGGTGTGGCTTGAGGTGGGAGGAGGGGATAGGTGGGAGGAAGAACAGGTTAGGGAGGCAGGGACGAGCTGGACTGGTTTTGGGATGCAGTAGGGGGAGGGAAGATTTTGAGGCTTGTGAAATCCACATTGATACCATTGGGCTGCAGAGTTCCCAAGCAGAATATGAGTTGCTGTTCCTGCAACCTTCGAGTGGCATCGTTGTGGCACTGCAGGAGGCCCAGGATGGACATGTCATCTGAGGAATGGGAGGGGGAGTTGAAATGGTTCACGACTGGGAGGTGCAGTTGTTTATTGCAAACCGAGTGTTGGTGTTCTGCAAAGCGGTCCCCAAGCCTCTGCTTGGTTTCCCCGATGTAGAGGAGGCCACAACGGGTACAGCAGATACAGTATACCACATTAGCAGATGTGCAGGTGAACATCTGCTTGATGTGGAAAGTCTTCTTGGGGCCTGGGATGGAGGTGAGGGAGGAGAGCGGTCCCTCCGGAAAGCAGATAAGGGTGGGGAGGGAAAGATGTCTTTGGTGGTGGGGTCGGATTGCAGATGGCGGAAGTGTCGGAAGATGATGCGTTGGATCCGGAGGTTGGTGGGGTGGTACGTGAGGACGAGGGGGATTTTTTTTTGGTTGTTATTGCGGGGACGGGGTGTGAGGGATGAGTTGCGGGAAATGGGGGAGACACGGTTGAGGGCGTTCTCGAGCACTGACGGGGGGAAGTTGCGGTCCTTGATAAACGAGGACAACTGAGATGCATGGGAGTGGAATGCCTCATCCTGGGAGCAGATGCGGTGGAGGCGAAGGAATTGGGAATAGGGGATGGAATTTTTGCAGGAAGGTGGGTGGGAGGAGGAGTATTCTAGGTAGCTGTGGGAGTTGGTGGGCTTGAAATGGATATCGGTTTCTAGGTGGTTGCCCGAGATGGAGACAGAGATGTCCAGGAAGGTGAGGGAGGTATTAGAGATGGTCCAAGTGAACTTAAGGTTGGGGTGGAAGGTGTTGGTGAAGTGGATAAACTGTTCGAGCTCCTCGTGGGAGCACAAGGCGGTGCCGATACAGTCATCAATGTAACGGAGGAAGAGGTGGGGTTTAGGGCCAGTGTAGGTACGGAAGAGGGATTGTTCCACGTAACCTACAAAGAGGCAGGCGTAGCTTGGGCCCATGCGGGTACCCATGGCCACTCCCTTTGTCTGTAGGAAGTGGGAGGAATTGAAAGAGAAGTTGTTGAGGGTGACGACGAGTTCGGCTAAGCGGATGAGGGTGTCAGTGGAGGGGGACTGATCGGGCCTGTGGGACAGGAAGAAGCGGAGTGCCTTCAGGCCATCTGTATGGGGAATGCAGGTATATAGGGACTGGACGTCCATGGTAAAGTTGAGGTGTTGGGGACCCGGGAATTGGAAGTTCTGGAGGAGGTGGAGGGCGTGGGTGGTGTCACGGACGTAGGTGGGGAGTTCCTGGACCAAGGGGGAGAAAATGGAGTCCAGATAGTTGGAGATAAGTTCAGTGGGGCAGGAGCAGGCGGAGACAATGGGTCGACCAGGGCAGTCGGGTTTGTGGATTTTGGGAAGGAGATAGAAGTGGGCGGTGCGGGGTTGGAAAACGATGAGATTGGAGGCCGTGGGTGGGAGGTCACCTGAGGTGATGATGTTGTGGATGGTTTGGGAGATGATGGTTTGGTGCTCAGGGGTTGGGGTCATGATCAAGGGGGCGGTAGGAGGAGGTGTCGGAGAGTTGGCGCCTGGCCTCGGTGATGTAGAGGTCAGTGCGCCATACTATAACTGCGCCTTCCTTGTCCGCGGGTTTTATGGTGAGGTTGGGATTGGAGCGGAGGAGCGGAGGGCTGCACGTTCTGCTGGGGAGAGGTTGGAGTGGGTGAGAGGGGTGGAGAGGTTGAGGCGATTGATGTCTCTACAGCAGTTGGAGATGAAGAGGTCGAGACATGTCCATCCTGGGCCTCCTGCAGTGCCACAACGATGCCACCCGAAGGTTGCAGGAACAGCAACTCATATTCCGCTTGGGAACCCTGCAGCCCAATGGTATCAATGTGGATTTCACAAGCTTCAAAATCTCCCCTCCCCCTACCGCATCCCAAAACCAGCCCAGCTCGTCCCCGCCTCCCTAACCTGTTCTTCCTCCCACCTATCCCCTCCTCCCACCTCAAGCCGCACCCCCATCTCCTACCTACTAACCTCATCCTG